TATATTGTAATTTTTGTCATATTTCCTTAGGTTCCCACAGCTTTTGAAGTGCCTCTTCCCGTCCTTCCGTAGAATTTGTGTTTCATTTACTTTCAGGTTCCCAGTTCTTTTCCCGACCACGCACTATGTTTGCACAATGTCTTCAGCTAAATTCAACACAATAATTTAACAAGACGATTGCGATTGCTTTTCGTCCCGCGGGATAATTTAAAGTTCAGAAAGTCAGTCTCAAAAAAAAGTCTCTTATTATAATTTAACCGCTTAATGTTTTACCTTATTGTGAGTCTGATCCGCTCCTAGCATGAAAATGAGTTGAACGACCCCCATGTTGAATGCCAGATTTTTGTGCACGTGTATACTATCCCCCTTGAGGCTGAAAACAATTACAACCAGTCAACTTTATCATGGCCGATGTAACTAACTATGGTCTGCCAACCTGATCTAACCCTTAGCAAATCCTTCACAGTTTGCGTGGTGCACACTGGACGAAACATGCTACTACTGTCAGTTTCAGCATACTAAATAGATGTAAAACCACACTTTGGCACTATCGACGTGAATTACACTCTAATTTATCTAATTACTAATTGTTACACACTGAAGCTTTAAGTTTACTTACTGTAAGATACTGTAGATGAAGATGGCAAGAAAACAACATGTGGCCGACAACACGCATCCAACAAAAGACATCATGAACAATATCATGTCTTCACCTTTTTTAGCGTTATCCTGATAAGAAAATAAGATAAATCTGTATTAAAGAGGAGATGGGAAGCTAATTTGGCTATTCTTGTTTATTTAAAATTACAAAATCGTAACTGAAAAGATAAATGTAATATTGCTTTCCCCTCTGGTATATAGGAAACCAAAATTGATTTCTAAGCGGCAGAGAACAAGGCTGAATACCCGACAAAGAATTTAGTCTTTTTTTCTACCATCCATTTTTGTGGGGGCTTCAGCCTCCACTATGCTACCGTCGGCGGATTTTTTTTTTGTCTACGTGTAGCGTATCGCGAGGTCTTCTTGGAGGAATTGAGCAGGCTTATATGACGTGAGCGCTCGATACGGCGGCCATTGCTGTTTTGAGTCCATGTAATATTTTTCCACAGCTTACCGTCGCGAGTTGGTTGCAGTTTTCAAGGTAAGTTATTTTCCATTTCTAAACTGCTTTGCCTCGTTTTTGTTATATATTATCTTTCTTCCCGCACTGCCCTCGAGAACTTTATACTCTATGTTATTTCACTTAGGTCTTCGTGAGAAAATTTCTTCGGCGATACAAGATTTGTTTTCCTCACGCAAGCCATTAACTTATCCAGGCTCGGCTCGTGTTCAGGGTGGATTGCACGGGAGATATATTCGCTTTCGCAAGTACTCACCTTCTTTACCCAGAGAGTGTCAGTTATTGGACTCTACTGTTATCACGTAAATCGTATACATGTACTTGTACTGTGCAGTCATTTTGAGCAGCTGTGAATGCAGTCAAACTGCTGAACTTACATGTACTGGAGC